TTGGAGGGCGAAACCCTCGGGAGCTGCTTCCCATCCCCATCCCACCCCTCCAAGAGCAGTTGGGAGGGAGAGTCACATCCTTGGAACAACCTCATGACACCAGCCCGGAGTCCCTGGCGATGCCATGGGGCACTCAGGTGACCCCACACAGTGCCAGGCCCTGGGCACCATCAGGACTTGACTTCTTGCCACCAGCAGACATAGATCTTTTTTTTCCAGCATCCAATGAGGATAACAAGCAGCTTGGGGCCAAGCACAGGTCCAGGACCACATGGGTCTTCCCAACTCCATCCCTCCATCACATGGGCCCAGTGGTTTTCCTGCTCCCAGCCTTTAATTCCCACCTGAGTGGGGCCTGGCTCAGCCTCGCCTGAGCCTGCATAAGGACAAGGTTTAATTTTCAAGCTCTAAACCAAATTTCCCCTCTATCTCATCTACTGGAGCATCCCTAAGGGTTTAAGATCAGCAGCGGGAAAAGCTGGAAGGATTTGAAGGAGCGAGGGTAAACGAGCTGGTCCAGGGATGGACGAGCAGATCCATCCATCGTTCAGTATTTTCCAGCCTTCAGAATGAACCTTGTTACTGACAGCACTTCGTTTAACAGCCACTGACCCCTGGCCCTTTCTCGCTCTGTTACGTTCGGGTTTGGGAAGGTGACCCATCCGAAATATCCAGGAGTGCATTACCCGCTGTGGACATCCTCTTCTTGTGCTTTATAAAATTCATTAATTAATTAAAGTAATTAATTCATCGTTAGCACTTGCGCCCGGGCATCTATGGGTGACCTATGATCTTCCTACTTGGGTGACCAAGTTGTCCCCATCTGCCTGGAGGAGCCCCCCGCAAAGCTGGGATGGGATTTCCAGGTGATCCCCCCATCCAAAAGCTGCTCATCCTCCCCATGGGGTGCCCCACTGGGACCCCCCGGTTCACACACACACACGCTGTGCAGCCCCCCCCAGCCCTTGGGCTGAGTCAGGCCCCTTTGCACGGGGTGCTGAGCAGATTTAGCTGCCCCTGCTTTTTTTGTAGGCCCTACAATAAATGGTGTCGTTGCAGGGTTCAGAGGGTGGACCTTGACGCCGGGTGGCAGCATGGCTTGGGGGGACAGGGAGGTCACCTCCCTGGGGCCTGGGTCTGGGCATCTGTCTGTCCGTGATCCCATCGTGCCTGAGGGATGGGCTCGATGACCCCAGGGGGGTCATGGTCCCCACTCCCCACTGCCCCGAGGGGGTGGAATGGTCCCTGCTCCCCATCAGCCGGCGGGGCTCAGTCCCTCATCGTCTGGGGAAGCAGCACTCAGTGTGTGCGCTGGGGTCAGGCATGGGGGGACATGGGTGCCATGGGATGCGGGGGACACAGAGGACTTAGACACAGTGGACATGGGGACATGGGGAGGACATGGGTCAACAAGGTACATGGGGGCACGTGGGGGACGTGGGGGAACAAGGTACATGGGGGCACGTGGAGGACATGGGGGGAGCAAGGGACAGGGGGGACACCATGAACGTGCGGACACAGAGGGGCACACAGAGGC